GCTTCTCAGTAGGAGAATCTAGGAAAACTATGGTGTAATGAAACCGAGGAAGGTAAGTGCTGAACACTTAAAAATGATTGGCTAAGTGGAAGTTGTCGAGAAAAGTAACAGCTAAAGGATTAGGATTCAAAATATATAAGTGGTTTGCTGATAAATGTTTAACAACTGCCTGGGGATGGGGAGTTTAGCTTTTACAAATTTCCATGGTATAAATATTTCCATCATGGCCAGTTTTAAGCTACCAAAACATCATGTCTTTAAACATGAAATTAAGAAGAAAGGTTTATAATCAACCACTGTATATACAGTATACCACTGTATATAAAAATAAAATCTTATATAGTTCAATAAGCAAATGAAATAAAAATGGCCAAGAATATGAACAGGCACTTCACAGAGAAGGAACACGAATAACTAATAAACATATACAAAGGTGTCCCTTTTACTAGTAATGTAGGTCAGAACACAAAGTAAAAGAACAACAACAACCCAAAAAAAAAACCTCAGTTTTTATCCATTAGCATGCAAACATTTTAAATATTTGATAATATCATATTAGATGAGGGCAAGAGGAAATATTGATAGTTTCAACATCATTAATGGAATAAATTAGTGTGCCCATTCTTGAGGACACCTTGGCAGTAATTTTTGTAGTTAGAATTATACATGTCCTTTGACTTAACAGTCCAGATTTTTATTTCTTCCCTAGAGTAACATTCATACTTGCACACAAGAGGATGTGTATAAGAATATTCACTGTGGTATTGTTTATAATGAAAGTTACAGTACAGTATGTCCAGTGTGATGCAATTTGTGGTAGTGATCAAAAGGGTTTCAATCTTGTTCATATCTTTAAGTGTGTGTATTGCTTACATAATTATCTGAGTGTTTTTGAATATTCAGAGAAAAAAGGAATTAAGAAAGTAAGAGCTGAAAAATGGGAAAGGGTCCAGGCACGGTGGCTCAAGCCTGTAATCTCAGCACTTTGGGATTACAGAGGTGAGAGGATTGCCTGAGCCCCGGGGTTCAAGATCATTCTGGACTACTTGATGAAATCTTGTTTCTACAAAAAAACCCAAAAAATTAGCCAGGTGTGGTGGCACGCACCTGTAGTTCCAGCTACTTGGAAGACTGAGGCAGAAGGATCGCCTGAGTCCAGCAGGCGGAGGCTGCAGTGGCTGTGAGCATGCCACTACACTCCAGCCTGGGTGACAGTGAGACTCCAACTCAAAAAAAAAAAAAAAAGAATGGGAAAGAATAAGTCCAGAGTATAAGTAGAGTTTGATAAAGAAAAAAAGATAAATCTTATAATAAAAAATACAAGGGTAAGTATAGAGATTGTAATATACTGGGACAAAAATTAGCAAGCTGTCACCACAAGTCAGGGTGGGAATGAAGGAACTTGTAAGTAATGGTCTTTATAAAAATTAGTATCCCACTTTGCTTAAATGAGATTTAGACAGAGATACGTTGAAGTAAGACTGGGGATACATGTGGATTTATTTTTATTTTCATGAAAGCCCTCTTGAGTCAGTGACAGAACGACATTATTTTTCTTCTAGCTTGTAAGAAGGCAAGTGAATTATACTTATTTCCATCAAATGGTAGAATTGAATTTGGCAACCTCGACAGTACTTTACTGATGAATAGTTGTTATCTAGAGATGATCATCCCCAAAAGAAGGCAGAATGGCAAGGTCCACATCAAATCATAAAGTGGTAATGATACTTAACCAGCTAATAAAGCTATTGATTAGAATTTTTGCCCTCTGTCATCCGTACCATTTTTACTTCCCCTCAAAAGACAAATCTAAAAATCCTGGTTTGTCTCGGGATTTTAAAATTACAAAAGTTAGATGTGGTGGTGTTTTGTTTTGGTTCAGTTTGGTTTGTGTTTGACTTTATGTTTTAAATGTTAACATCCAAGTCTTATATTTACTTTTCTGAATTTTTATAAAACCCATCCAAAATGTTGTAATTATGAGATTTTAGCTGGGAAGCAAGCATTAAGTTAAAATTTTTTCTAGCTTTAGTACAATTTGAATTAATTAATTATTTTTTAGTTTCAAAAGCCACTGCAAAGGTAAACAAGATGAGCAACTCTTAAAACATACAGGACAAGTACTTAAAAATGTTTCACGAATAATGAACATTGCCTCTTCTTCCAATCTAGTCTTTACAACTTCGATCAAGATAAATCTTTTTATTGTTCAGCTCTTAGTATATTCCTCATTTCTTCAAGAACTTTAGTGTTTCTGTGTACCAAATAAGTTCAGAAACCTTAGAGTTACAAAATAGAGAATACACATTTCCTGTTTCCCTTACACAAAGGATTTATTTTGTTACAGGCAAAATTAGGTTAAAACAATACTTCTAAAACTATTATTATTTGTGTTCTGCCATCTGAGCACAGTAATATTGAGGCAGAGTTTTAAAGTGAGAACTGGTTTAAAACTGTACACTCTAAAACATAGATGAGCAAATATATAGTTTTATCTCTTGTTCCTCATAGTTCGTGAACAGACTCAGAGAAAGGAAGTGCTGCCATGGTAACATAAACCAGCGTGTTATTTGAGACCATACTCAAGATACTTAACTGCCCTGAAACGGCAAGTTTTCAATACCCGTTTTTCTAATTTGCGATTTCAAGGAAATCACATTTCTACTGTGATCAAAACAATTTGCAATTCTCTTACAGTAGAATTTGAAAAGTAGATCTGAACTAATTTCTAGGAGTGTAATCTCAGGAATATCAAGGTAGAACATGAAGTAAGCATTATTATTTTAGTTTTCATTTTATTTTTTGAGTTGGAGTCTCTGTCACCCAGGCTGTAGTGCAGTGACACGCTCATAGCCACCATAGCCTCAACCTGCTGGGCTCAGGTAATCCTTCTGCCTCAGCCTCCCAAGTAGCTAACACACCCAGCTAATTTTTGATTTTTTATAGAAATGATGTCTTGCCAAGTTGTCCAGGCTGGTCTCGAATCCCTGGGCTCAGGCAGTCTTCTTGCTTCCATCTCCCAAAGTGCTGGGATTACAGGCATGAGCCACTGTACCCTGCTTAAAATAATTGTCTTGGTTAAGGGATGAGAAATAATTCATGCATATCTTTGTGACATGAAACTGAATGGCTTTGAGGCAAAGAATGTTGTTCGACACTAACATTTTCAAATTTATTTTCCTGTTATCGAGCCACATTTGTCATTTGGGCCTGGTGGTTGAACATATATCTAGCTTAAGTTTATCCTGTAATCCAAAAATACATTTGTAAAAGTTGTCTCTTCTTCAAAAACAAGTCAAATGTCAAATATTTGTGTAGTATGGCTAATGAGATTTCTTACTACTGAACACCAGAAAAAAGTTTCATCTGATAATCAGGTGTGTTTCTTTCTGTATGACAGTGTGATATAATACTGTTGTGTTTCTTTTCCTATTTGTTTACACTGTCAGAATGTTTAAAAAAAAAACTGACTTACACTTAGTTGCTAAATATAGGTTTTTTTCTTCTAAATGAATTTTAACCTTATTCTTTACCACCGAGATTTTGTCTTTTTATTCAGAATTAATTGATTTTTGTTCTTATTGTTGATTTAAAAAAAAAATACTCCCTCATCTGTCGAAAATAGAGGAATAGGAATATACTGTTATTCAACCAACAGTAAACCCTTACTATATGCCAATTTCAGAGTAACCCCTTAGTAGTCACTTGATTTGCAGCTCTGTGTCACTTGCATATAAATTACCTTATTTGAATCTCATTACAACTCAGAAAAGTGGCCTGAATTGGTGTTTTATTTTGTGGGAAAAATGTGAATGAGAGGTCTGGCTCTCAAAGATTAAATGATTCAGCCAACTTCACCTAGCCAGTCAGTAGGAAGTAATTAGGCACTCAAGTTTTGGAACTTTTGGAACAATGTTATTTCATTGTACCATTCTGCTATAAAAATTATGGAACAATATTCAGTGATAAAAGAACCTCAGTAATAGACTTAATATTTCTTGAAAAAAGACTTTGGGAAATGGAAAGATTCTGGAGATCATCACATTGAATCTTTAGCAATTATAATATATTACAGGGGATTCTTTTTTCTTTTTTTTCCGAGTTGGAGTCTCACTCCGTTGCCCAGACTGGAGTGCAGTGGCACCTGATAATCAGGTGTGTTTCTCACAGTCACCCTAGCGTTGACCTGTTTGGCTCAGGTGATCCTTCCGCCTCAGCCTTGCAAGTAGCCAGAACTACAGGCATGCACTACCACACCCAGCTAATTTTTTGATTTATTGTAGAGACGAGGTCTTGCCAAGTTGCCCAGGCTGTTCTGGAACTCGTGGGCTCAGGCAGTCCCCTCACCTTGGCCCCCCAGAGTGCTGAGATTACAGGCTTGAACCACCGCACCTGGCCTACAGAGGATTTTATACAAGGAAAAAATGAGTGTAACAACAAAAAAAAAGAGTGTAAGAACAGAAAACAAGTACATTTGTATTGTATAAATAATTATTAATGTAGTTATAAAGTGTAATTCAATTTTTAAGAAGATTTTTGAAATAGAAAAGGCAAAATACAATAATAAGTTTTAACCTCACTAATCCTGTGAGTTAGGGGAAGTTTTGTACATCATATGGTTACTTTCACTACAGTGCATGCATGGCAAGCTCCCTTAAAACTTTTTTTTTTTTTGAGTTGGAGTCTCACTGTGTCGCCCAGACTGGAGTGCAGTGGCC